AGTATTGTTCTTAGTAACAGATACAAAGTATTGTTCTTAGTAACAGAAATAAGTATAAGTATTGTAGGGTAATTATTCATGTTTGTTAATACATTAATTAATTAACGCCGACAATTATTTTATTGTGCGTTAACGCAGTTTTTTTTTATTATTAAGCGGACATATTTAACACAAGAACCGGCAGCGAGCGGTGAACAGCTGTTTCCTTCATCTACATTCCCCTGGGTCCCAAGTCTCTCCATGTACAGCTTCTTATCACCCTCTATGTACCAACGTACATTTATAAAAAATACCACACATATTACGGTAATCAGCGTTGCATATGTGTCTGACCTAAATACCAAAAAAATAAATGATTCATTTAAATTATTGTTTTAGAGTTTTTAAAGTGTTTTGTTTGTAATATGTATAATAAGCATCATTTAGTTGTCACTACTGAGAATTTAACAAACATAAAAACATGACGTAGACAGGTTTGCAGTTTTCAAGAAATATATTTAAATATCATCTCTTACACACATGAAGATAAAGTTATGAACACCGGCTGAATATCTATGATCAGAATCATAACTGTGTTATAACTGCTACTGTGTAAAGGGAATACTGCTGTTAACAAGAACCTGATGTGTTTAAAGTGTTTAAACCAAATGTTATTGACCTTTGTTCATATAGCAGTACTTTCAAAATAAAAGTGCGCAATACACTACTTTTGAATTCATTGTTGAATTTTGCCATAACAATGAGATTAATCGCAGAAAAATCATGCGATGAATCGCGACTAAAAATTGTAATTGTTGCCCAGCACTAATATATATATATATATATACTGTATATATATATATATATATATATTTACATACCCAGGTTGATCTTGTGTTCATATTTCCTCAGAGCTTTATCAGACGGAGTCGATCGCAGCGTCATATTGGACGGATTCTGTCTGTTGGACTGACCAATAGAAACAAACATCAACAGTCAGCTGACACTTCAGAATCATGAATAACCAATCAGAGTGATCAGAGTGTGATCAGAGTGTGTCAGAATGGACAGAGTGTGTCAGAGTGTGTCAGAGTGGTCAGAGTGTCAGAGTGTGTTAGAGTGTGTCAGAGTGGTCAGAGTGTGTCAGAGTATGTCAGAGTGTGTCAGAGTGTGTCAGTGTGTGTCAGAGTGGTCAGAGTGTGTCAGAGTGTGTCAGAATGGTCAGAGTGTGTCAGAGTGTGTCAGAATGGTCAGAGTGTGTCAGAGTGTGTCAGAATGGTCAGAGTGTGTCAGAGTGTGATCAGAGTTCGTGATCAGAGTGTGTCACACCTGACAGCTGACGGTTGTCCTGTTATATCGTTTGGTCAGATCTCCTCCAGATGAATGCCACGCCCACTCCTCCTCCTCATCTTCATCATAATCTTCATAATCTTCATCATCTTCTTCTTCCTGTCGGTCTGATGGAGGCTGCTGAGTGACATCACTGGTCTGATGCGTAGCAGCAAACAGCTCTGATTGGACGCTGCAGAGAGAAAACCGTGAGGTCACAAACATCAGCTGTTTATTATGAATCAAAGAAAACTTACTTTGTTTTTATTTCTGCTTTTAGAATCAGTTGCTTCACTACCTCCAAAATATGTTGTTATCGATTGCACAGATATATATATACCATTAATGACAACCAACCTGCTGCTGACCATAATATCACCAAGACAATGTGAACATTAAGAAGAAGAAGAAGAAGAAGAAGAAGGAGAAGGAGTCGAAGAGGAAGAAGAAGACATCAACTCTCATTAATCTCAGTATAAACAAACAGTCTCACCTGTCCTCCTCTACGTCATCGAACTGTCCAGGTACACAGCTGAGCACCGACATGACGTCACACACCAACAGAGACTCTGAACCAAAACTGATCCAGAACCGAACCCGATCCGAACCCCATCCAAACTGACCGAAACTAGTCCAAACCTCGTCGAGCAGCTCTCCTCACACGGCAGCGTGTTGTGTTCACTTCCGGGTCTGAACATGTGACTACGGAAAGAGAACTATGCTCAGTGCTGCCCCCTCGAGGGTAAAACTACATATTGCGTTATCGGTAAAAGAAGTACTTCATCTCTGACCGCAGTAAAAATACTACTACCATAATACCACAGAAACATTTGTATATAATCAATAAAACATTATTCAAAACTTTTATGAATCTGCTCTTTGATTTACACAACATGATCTAACAATTAAGAATTAAATATAGATATGTGCAAATAATATAATAATTCATATTCTATAGCAGGTTTGGTCTTCAAGAGCTCGATCATAATATTATTATTATTATAATCCTTATAATCATTATAATAATAACGGTCCACAATGGTGTGAAATAGTATAACAATAAATCATAAACCTTCTGAATGTGTCTCACTGGATCACTGCAGTAAAAGCTGTCTGCTGTAGACATCCCATAATATCTTATAGTGACAACACACCACCTGAATGAAGTCATCGCTTCAGCTCTGCTGGGAGCACTGGGAGGTGATCTAACGGCCGCTAGAGTGCGGTAATCCGCCGCTGGAGCATCGAGTCTGCCAAAGCTTTTATGTTGAAAACCCCATACCGGAAGTATCTCGTAGCGTGTTAGCTCCCTGGTTACAGCTCCGTGAAACGAGTTATTAAGTTATAAAGTTATAATAAAGTTCTCTTTAATATGTTCGGAGATCTGGAGCGGACTCCCCGGACCCTGCTGGTTTGTGACCGGTCCAGTTTCCTGGATGAGAAGAACCGGCTGAGCTCTCAGGTGGAGCAGCTTCACTTCAACTACAAGGTTAGCATGAGCTGTATTTCAACTACAAAGTTAGCATGTTAGCTTCAGCTGTATTTCAACTACAAGGTTAGCATGTTAGCTTCAGCTGCACTTCAACTACAAGGTTAGCATATTAGCTTTAGCTGCACTTCAACTACAAGATTAGCATGTTAGCTTCAGCTGCACTTCAACTACAAGATTAGCATGTTAGCTTCAGCTGTATTTCAACTACAAGATTAGCATGTTAGCTTCAGCTGCACTTCAACTACAAGATTAGCATGTTAGCTTCAGCTGCACTTCAACTACAAAGTTGGCATGTTAGCTTCAGCTGTATTTCAACTACAAGGTTAGCATGTTAGCTTCAGCTGCAATTCAACTACAAGGTTAGCATATTAGCTTCAGCTGCACTTCAACTACAAGGTTAGCATATTAGCTTCAGCTGCACTTCAACTACAAGGTTAGTAAAAGCGTTTAAAAACAAATAGCTTCCTGTTCCTGTAATGATCAGATTTATTTATTGGTTTATAGAACTAGTAAATCAGTTTGTAGTCATTCTGATTCATAATTAAATAAACTGAATGTTATACTTTCTACTGTTAAAGGTGATTTTAAGTATTATATATATTATATAGTGCTGGGCAAGTTAACGCGTTATTATCGCGTTAACACATTCATTATTTAACGCCGACAATTATATTATCACGCTTTTTATTATTAAGCGGACATTTTTAACACAAGAACCGGGCAGCGGGCGGTGAACAGCTGTGTTTGTGTAGCATCACTTCCTTCTGCTGCCGCTCTCTCCCCCCACAGGGTGACACGCCCAGTCCGGAACCGTCGGTCCCTCCTGTGTCAAGGTGCGTTCACACCAAACGCAGCGTGAATTATTCGCGCGAGTAGTTTACATACAAAGTCTATGCACAGACACGATGAGACTGGAGTGACGCGAATTTGCGATGGCGCGGCGCGATTGACGCGAATTCGCCCCAAATGCGTGAGTTGACCATTTTCAACTTCGCCGAAATATTCGCATTACGCCCCAGCGCGATAGCCTGTCAGCGTTGAGATGTTTCTCCTGTCATCACTGACTTCCTGCCGTTGTTGAATCAGGAAATAAATACTGTAGCCGTCTGTGTTCACCCAGAGCTCTACGATACCTCATATCAATAGAGACCGGACCAAACTATGTGTATACATGTGTGTGTGTAAACCATATGGTACAAACAATGAATAGACGCTGCCGTATTTACGTCTACATGACGTTATTCTGACTGTTGGTGGAGCTGCTACAATGTTAGCATAGCCTAGCATTTCCGAGCTCCATTGAGAAGACAAGTACAAATCGGCATCATTACGTAGTTATTTTGGAGTCCCTTTTTGTCGGTTTATGACCGTTAAATCACAGCCAAATCAGTTTGTTTTGTGTTCATACAGCTGTAGTATGACATGACGGCGTTTAGTTTCCCAGGATATCTGTGACTTCCACAACACGTACTAAGCAGAAATAGGTTATTTTTTCCATGGTTAATGGCGGACAGTTGAACGGCTTTCAGGGCGATAAGCCACGCCCCCTCTCCGACGCGTCCAGCGCGATTCACGCGAATGAACACAAATAGTCCACGGCGAGACCGGCGGCGCGAATGAAGCGAATACGCGGCGCGAATGATTCGCGTTTGGTGTGAACACGGCATTAGACCCTCCATGTACCAACGTACATTTATAACAAATACCACACATATTACGGTAATCAGCGTTGCATATGTGTCTGACCACAATACCAAAAAAATAAATGATTCATTTAAATTATTGTTTTAGAGTTTTTAAAGTGTTTTGTATAATAAGCATCATTTAGTATCACTACTGAGAATTTAACAAACATAAAAACATGACGTAGATAGGTTTGCAGTTTTCAAGAAGTATATTTAAATATCATCTATTACACACATGAAGATAAAGTTGTGAACACCGGCTGAATATCTATGATCAGAATCATTATAACTGTGTTATAACTGCTGCTGTGTAAAGGGAATACTGCTGCTAACAACAACCTGATGTGTTTAAAGTGTTTAAACCAAATGTTATTGACCTGTTGTTCATATAGCAGTACTTCAAAATAAAAGTGCACAATACACTACTTTTGAATTCATTGTTGAACTTTGCCATAACAATGAGATTAATCGTGATTAAACATTATAACCCATATTCACATACAAGTTAAATTTTTTTTTAAAAGTATTTACTTGTTACAACTTCCTGTTCTGCTTCAGCTTCTTCTCTCAGCTGCTGTTTCATCTGCTGGTAGTCCTCATAGTACTGCTTCACCTCCTGAAACACAGAAAAGGACATTTACAAATCTAAAGTCAACATGTGACTGTGCAGCTGGATCCGCCTCACATCACGTCCACTTTAAACCATTAACGGTCAAAGCAGAGCTCCTCAACAAGAACAGGACGTTTAGTGAGACAGAAGAGGACGTTTAGTGAGACAGAAGAGG